CTAAACCCTAAACCCTAAACCCTAAACCCTAAACCCTAAACCCTAAACCCTAAACCCTAAACCCTAAACCCTAAACCCTAAACCCTAAACCCTAAACCCTAAACCCTAAACCCTAAACCCTAAACCCTAAACCCTAAACCCTAAACCCTAAACCCTAAACCCTAAACCCTAAGCCCTAGGCCTAGGCCCTAAGCCCTAGGCCCCTAGGCCCTAGACCCTAAACCCTAGGCCTAGGCCTAAGCCCTAGGCCTAGGCCTAGGCCTGGGCCTAGGCCTAGGCCTAAACCCTAAACCCTAAACCCTAAACCCTAAACCCTAAACCCTAAACCCTAAACCCTAAACCCTAGAATACAACAAACTAAACCCTGATTCCTTCATTTTTACGATAAAACCTTAAACCCTAAATGATCTAAAGCGAAATTGAAATTTAAGCCTCGAAAGCATCTCTATTAGAGGGCCGCATCCATTAGGATTACAATGGGTACGTATCCAGTTCTTATAAAGAACGAAAATCGAACAACTGCACCCACTGCCTCGGACGCAGTGTACATGTACCAAGTTACACGTATTGCCTGTGTGGGTAAAGCTATACTTAACCTTAATAGGAAACAATCTGCTATGTAAAGTGACCGAAGCACCCCGCTACACCTTCTTACACTCAGAGTGGCACTAGGTATGATTACAAGATAATCAAAGCAAACAAGAACCACCCATCTCAACGCCACGAGAACTTTTCTGTGAAAACTATCTCGACTTAGCAGTATTGCCACATCATGTTTTCAAGCGCCGATGACAAAAAAAGGCCACCACGGCCACACTCGTCGTGATGCGAACGTCACCGATATAACGTGGACAGCGTTCGGGACACGCTGGAATCTGGATTCATCGCTGTCACATCCAGTGAAGCAACGAGAGGCTGACAGGTGTCATCACGGAATTACTTAACTGCGTTAGCGGATCTGAGAAATGCGTTGGGACGCAGATAGGGAATGTTGCCTGATCCGAAATCGTGAGGTGTAAAGGGCCACCCCGTTACACATATAGTTCTGATAAAGTTTACATATTACTGACGTAGGGGAGCTACTTCTTGGGGTTCACTTCTTGCGAAAGCAGCATGTCGTACATTTTGGCTGGAGTGATGGGCTTGGTCCTATGATTCATAATTAAGATATCGGCACTTAGATTTTGTAGTTTCCGTGTGTCCACGGGGACCTTATGTAGCTAAGATAATTAAAAACTAAATGTAAACAGTATTAAATTGACTTGATATTGAGAGCTCAGACTTAAGTTTTCTCTTGGCGTTAGTTTACGTTAAGTATGAGTCATTCTACCCTGTAAAACCTGGTAGCACTTTGTATTCTTTTAGGTGCCCGAGCTCGGGATAAGCGGTTCGTCGTACTTTAAAGCTCCAGACTTAAATTGAAGCATGCTACCTCCCCCTAATTGACTGGTGATAAGTGGGATGCCCTATGTCGCCTCGCTGTGATAACAGAAGAGGCGTTCGTCGTGTCGCTCGTGATAAAAGAACCATAAAATGATCAGCGACTAGCCATTCCAAAATTTTACAGCTAGCGAGCTCGCAGAATCCAGTCTGCGAGGTTAAACTTCCTTGCATCTGCTTGGAAACATTCCTTGAAGACATAAACCTCCACCTACTCAGGAGAAGGTAAAGATCGATTGTCGTTACGTTGGTGTTTTCGAAAAGTCGCTATTGCTATCGCTTTGAGGTTTCTCAAGGCGCCCTAAGCGAAGAATGACTTTCTCACTTCCCGTCTCACTGGTAAATCCAGGTAATGGGCCCTCGGTAAACTCGTCATGGACGAGCACGCGTTAACCATTCTGAATTCCATCCAGAATGACCTGCGTCTAGTCGCTGAGCCACCACAAGAAGAGAATATGGTAAACTCAAAGTTTCTATCCATTCGACGGGATAAAATGTACATGCGAGACTACGTATAGATATCCCGACATCTGGTGTCGTGTATCATCTCACGCATCTAATGGACATGTACACACAGGTGAATGTATTTTTGGATAAGATGCGTGAGATCAATACTCGTTTGTCGTCTGAATGCGCAAAGCCTGCCACGTTGGGGGGATAATTTGTTAATGTCCTCCGCGAGTACTTAAGGGTCGCCATGGCTTACACCAAGCCTTCTTTTGTCACAGCCGCCCGGCCTTCCGGCCAATAGCCAATTGAGATTGACGTGATCGAGTGGTCGGGTGGCCGATAACGTGTGGCCTCCTACAAGGGCGACGCTCTTATTCGGCTTCAAATTGTTTGATTTGGTTGTCGAAAGCCAGGACATTATGGTAAATTCGATCAAGATCAATGTCGTAAAACCTCAAATGTATGCCTAAGTACGGAGTGGGGACCGGCGGAATGATCGTGGGACGAGGATCAATCATATGGATGGCACCGTTGGGATTATTTATGAAACTATCTCATCCGGTCAGAACGGTTCAAAACGGCGAAAGGGACCGCGATCAAGGGACCGCGATAAGAGGCCGCGATCAGGAGCCGCGATCAGGGGACCGCGATCAGGGGCCGCGATCAAAGGACCGCGATCTGGCGTGGACCATGCCATGATGCGATCAGACAGTTGGTGTATCGGGTCTGTGTCACATAGATACAAGGGGCGATCTGTAGAGGCGACGCGTGGCATCTGATTATCCGAGTTATAGGGGTAAGATGTGAGGGTCTGATCGGTTAACATTAAACAGAATTCAAATTGCTTCTTAACACATTCGTGTCGATCTTCTCCCGGGTTGGATATTTTAGCCTCCCGACGTCTGAGAATCTCGACATCAACGATAGAACGATCACCCCTGGAGCTATTTGGCCAGGAGTGCCAGGACTCTCAACACACCCCTACTGCGATCGGACGCAGCCAACCGTATCGGTTGAAGTACAAGATCGCGAGACAGCTCAAGTGGCCAGAAAGGCTTGCGACTCCAGTACACATTTTGGCGCAAGGCGATCAGGGCAGATCACGGTGACTCTAGGAGAGCGCCAACCCAGAACACGCGATCGGGTGAGGATTTTCCACCCGATCAGCACCAATCTCTACAACGGTCAAGTTTAGAATCTCGTTGAGTCCACCAAGAGGAGTACAATCCGCCCTGCCGACGGGTACACGAGGTGAGGAGGAAACAAGTGAAAGCGGAATCGGAGTAACCCCTCCTTTGTCGGTCGTCTGGGCGCCAGTGGAGAGTCGGGATACCTCAAAAAATGAGCGAACCCCACTCCACCACTACAGCTCCGGGAGTGATCGTTCTGTCCTTGATGTCGAGATTCTCAGACGTCGGGAGGCTAAAATATCCAACCCGGGAGAAGATCGACACGAATGTGTTCAGAAGCAATTTGAATTCTGTTTAATGTTAACCGATCAGATCCTCACATCTTACCCCTATAACTCGGATAATCAGATGCCACGCGTCGCCTCTACAGATCGCCCCTTGTATCTATGTGACACAGACCCGATACACCAACTGTCTGATCGCATCATGGCATGGTCCACGCCAGATCGCGGTCCTTTGATCGCGGCCCCTGATCGCGGTCCCCTGATCGCGGCTCCTGATCGCGGCCTCTTATCGCGGTCCCTTGATCGCGGTCCCTTGATCGCGGTCCCTTGATCGCGGTCCCTTTCGCCGTTTTGAACCGTTCTGACCGGATGAGATAGTTTCATAAATAATCCCAACGGTGCCATCCATATGATTGATCCTCGTCCCAAGATCGATCCGCCGGTCCCCACTCCGTACTTAGGCATACGTTTGAGGTTTTATGACAACGATCTTAATATACTTTACAACAATCGCCCCCTGCACAAACAGCCGATCTGCAATATCTGGCTCGCTTGTGCACTTTTTAGTCACCACTTTCCGTTTTATATTCTCGTTGCCTTCCATGGTTTCCTCGTCGTCCACGCCCAGCTTGCCATCAACTAGTTGTGCGCCATCGCCCTCGGTGATGACGCAATCTAGTCTCGAACCTTCGGTCGGTGTTGACATTTTGCCACGCGAACACCCAACTGGCCCCGATTCCACTACAGACGCGGTTATCGGTACCTCGGTGAGCGGAGGTCCGATCGGCTCTGCTTTGGGACTCGAGGCTGTTGTGGACGTCGCTTCAAGTACGGAACCGATCGGCTTCACGATGACGCCTAACGTCCTTCACAGTTCCGCTGCAAGTGACGAGCCGATTGGGGTCGGAGAATCTGCTGCAACCACTGATTCGATCAGCTCCGCGTTGACGCTTGATGTCGTCGACAATTTTGCTGCAAGTGGCTACCCTTTTGGGGCTATTCCGGTTCCGACCACTCGAGTTGAAACACCAATAGTTGAAGAAACGACCGCGTTCGGTATGATCGCTGGACTTTATCAGCGAATCGCATCCCAGCAGTATCTTGTGAATAGCTATTGCGATCTGGAGCCAGCGTTGCGGGAGCAAACTCGGAGAGGTGATCGACTAGAACGGGAACTCCGTTCTCTTACCGAGTCGGTCTCTCCTTTTGTGATCTTCGCTCAAACTCGTTGTTATCGCCGTCGTCTGGATTTGAAAAATGCACTCGCTGAAGTCGCTTTGCTTCAGGAGACAATTCGCGCGGGGGATTGCTACGAGCAGCAAATTAGCGACCTAAAGTCGAAACTTCTGAAAACGACCCGATCACTTCATAAGTTTAAAGAACGTCATGATTTCGAGCTGGCTTCCTTGTGACGACACATGGATGAGGGGAACGCTCGATTTCAAGCCGCACTCGTGAAGGCCAAGTCTAAGAGAACCAAGTACAAGGCAGACTGTACCAAGGCTCAGACTACGATTCGCAACCTGCATGCTGCTCTTGCTTCTGTACCAGTGGAGCGCGATCAACTTCGGGATGATCTGGCTGAGTTGGATGCTGATTATGACCGATCGCGCTCCTTTCTCTCCGATCGTGACTATCGAGAGGGTCTGCTTCAAGCTACTATCTCGGGTCTGGAGCTAGAGCGCGATCAGGCGTTGCGCAATTGCGACGTTCTTCGAACGAGCATTGCCGCGCTCGTTAACGGCCCCAGTTTACCTTCCTCGTCCCGTCCAGTTGAGACGGCCCCAACTACGAGTGCTCGTGTCAAACGCCCCAGTACTTCCGCTTTAACTCCTCCTCCGCGGACCAAGAGAGCTAGAATCGAGGCTACCCCGCAGTCGGTCGTCAAGATGACACCCAAGACTCATTCTCCGACTGCGTCCGGTATCGTCGCTGAGCCTTTCTGACGTGTTAAACTTCGAAGAACAACACTTCCCGACCACCCCACAGTTCCACACGATCTCAAGCAAAACTTACGCCCAAGACTCCCGCTTTTCCCGGACCTGGTGTTCAAAAGGCAAAGGCAGAGCGCGCAATCCGACGCCCGCTCCAGCTAGATCGGATGATGACGATTCATCGGATCTGGGCCTCGAACCTTGGCTGCACTCTCCCTATCACGCTCTTCTTCACGGCGTAAAGAAGACCCACTGGATAATCCGACAACTCCGTCTTCTACGTTACCAGAGTTGATCGTAGTGGATACCTCCAGCCCGGATGTGGATTCCCCCACCTCCCTAGTTGCCGCTTCCCTTAGGCCAAAACCCAAGGTTTCCAAGGTCGACTTGTTTGGCGGAGCTTCTAGCATTTCGGAGGGTCCGATCAGCGTTACGGAAGACGTCCGAGCCCCAGTCAATAATCTGTTGTCTTCGGCCAAGTACAAAGTATTCCCAAGACTAAGGTGCCCCGCGATCAGTGAGTACCCGGGTATCACTGTCGCGTACCAAAATCTTCTGTTCAAGTTTTACCTTGGTCTGCGCGCCGGGCGAGCTGGATCAGCGTGTTGGAAATGGATTTGGACTTTTCTATCACCATCTCGCCATGCCCAAGCATTACCCTTTTTCAGCCTCTTCTGCTGTATTGAAAGCACATCCTATGTCTGAGTGGTCTCCCCACTTGATTTCTTCGGCACAAGTTGCCGAGCTTGATCACCAGGAGCCCTGGAAATCTTTGCGCGTGAATATTGCGCCCATATCTTTCCAGCCCGTTGGGTGGTTCGAGCAATTGCTGGACCTATACCACTCTTTCGAAGAGCGATATATCCAGACGTTGTGAAAATCAACCCATACCTTGCCCATTTCTTCCGCCGATCGGGTTAAAGATCCTGGGTTTGCGTTATTCTGCAATCAGCGCAAACAGCGGCGATCACGATCTGGACCTCCTTGGAAAACCGTACTCAAGTTCATACTCCAAGGAATGGTAGAAGGCCATTGCGACTTAGACATTCTGCTGGACCCGGTTTTCTTGCACCTACCTCGCTTACATGAGAAGAAGTTCTGGTACCCCGGGTTGGGGACTGGGAAGACTAACATTCCCATCCTGGCTTCCGCTTTGTCGTTGACGAACTCTGCTGAGCCATGGCGTAATCAATACCGGCCATGTGAGAAAATCAACTTCCCCACACAGCTCTCCGACCTTCTGTGTGCGAAAAGCAACAGGGGGTGGCGGATAGTGCATGCATTTAACAAGTTGAATGCTGCAACGGTACCGGCTCGGACGCCGATACCGAGGAAGGACGTAATCATTGATGGTATGTCAAAGAGCACCATCTTTTCGTCCATGGATTTGATGGATGGCTTCTATCAAATCCTTATGCGAGAACGGGCTATACCCTATACCGCAGTTAGCACGCCTAGCGGCATGCTCTGGGAATGGCTAGTAATGCCACAAGGGCTTAGTCATGCCCCTGCCACGTTCAACAGATGTGTATCACATCTGTTGAGACCAGTACGAGAATTCGCACCGAGTTATTTCGATGACGTATTCACCCATAGTCGGGCTACGAATGGAAAGTCGGATGTTGAGGTTCACAGATACCACGTCCGAAAGGTTCTTACGATCATGCAAAAGCATCAATGGTATGCCAACCTCAAGAAGTGTATATTTGCAGTAAGCGAAATACCACTCTTTGGGTGCATCGTTGGTAAAAACGGTGTACGTCCTGATCCGGAAAAGATCAAGGCGATCACCGACCGGCCTGTGCCAGTTGATGTCAAAGGTCTTCGAAAGTTCCTTAGCTTGGTGGCATACTTGCACAAGTGTTCACGCAATCATGCCGAGATGACTGTACACCTCTCTCGTTTGTTGAAAAAGAACGAGAGGTGGTTATGGAAGGCTGAATGTCAGCGCTCCTTTGATGGTATCAAGCAGAGCTTGATACAATCCACAGTCCTAGCAATTGCCGATCAGGACAGACCATTTCATGTGGTCTGTGATGCCAGTGATTTCGCAATTGGCTGTGCATTAATGCAGTACGATCTTGAAGGCGTTGAACGCGTCGTCTGCTATCAGTCGCGTCAGCTGCAACCAGCTGAGCGGAACTATCCACTGCATGACAAGGAACTCCTTGCCATGAAGTATGCACTCGCGAAGTTCAGATTCTATCTATTAGGATATAAACCCTTCATTGTTCACACAGACCATGCGTCGTTACGCACGGCAGTAAACAGCCCGTACCTTTCACAACGAATGGCGCGGTGGTTGTCATTCTTTGCAGAATACAACTTTACGGTCGAGTGCGAACCAGAACGAATTAATGTCGTCGCTTATGCACTCTCACGTCGGCCCGACTTTGAAACAGTCGTGAAACCCAACAGTGAGACAGTCACTGTTGCGGTTATGACGTCCTCAGTCCCATCTACAGCGTTGTATGATGATGTGAGGCGGGCGTATGCCCAAGATGATGAGATTGTGAAGTTGTTGACACATCTCTCACAACCATCTCGAGAATTGTTGAAACGGTTAGCGTCTGCGTATCGATCTGCATCAGATCGATACACTACTCGAAACGGGTTACTGTATTATACAGCCGTTTCTGGTGACACACCACGTGTTGTCATTCCAGATGATAATTATCTGCGTTTGTGGATCATGTTCGAGTACCACGATGCTCCTATAGGAGGACATCGTGGTTGTGAGAAAACAAATCTCATTGTAAGTCGAGACTTTTACTGGCCCCGCCAGTATCAGTTTGTGCGAAAGTATGTTCGCGCATGCGAAGTCTGTCAACGAGTGAAGTCAATCCCTTCACTGCGTGCACCTTTACAGCCTCTACCGGTTCCGGCGGAGTACTGGGAACCCATCTCAATGGATTTCGTCTTCGGTTACCCAAAGACGCATGCAGGAATACGGGTATTCTCGGATTTGTTGACAGATTCAGCAAAATGGTACACCTCGTGGCTGTACCAGAGTCAATCACGGCAAGTGGCTGTGCTTGTGTCTTTATTGACACCATCTTCCGACTTCATGGGTTGCCCCGTGAACTCGTATCAGACAGAGATCCACGCTTCACTGCTGATTTCTGGCGCTCCGTGCTCAAATCACTCGGAACGCGCGTGAAGATGTCGACATCTGATCATCCAGAGTCAGATGGTCAGACGGAACGGTTAATAGTGTCCTCGAAGAGATACTTTAAGGATGCGTACAATCCTTTAAGAGTTGGAGTGAGTTTTTGCCAATGGTAGAGTTTGCCATTAACAACTCGGTGCATGCGTCCACGACACATACACCGTTTTACGTGAATGGCTTGCGCCATCCGCGTGTACCCACCTTACTAGAGTGTAACTCTGGTTTAAGGGGGGGAGACTCGTGCGAGCAAAAACCATGTGGTTCACGCTCATTACGCTCCGACGATGAGGTCATTGCGTTTGATGACGATATCGACAACATCGATATCGAAGAAGATGATGCCAGTGAGAGCGAGGAAGCCCTCACCGAAGAAAAGATTGATGTCGCTGCAGTGCACTCACAGCGCACTGAAGCTAACGAGTCATCAGATGAGTTCATACTGGCTCGTGAAACGGTAATACGTTTCGTGCAAGACTCCATCGCCGAAGCGGTGGATAAGGAAAAGCAAAACGCTGATAAGAATGGAAGGGCAAAAACACTCTTTTATTTAGTAAAGGTGACTTTGTCCTACTTTCTACGGTTAATCTACCAAAGCATGTAGTGACTAACTTGGGTAGTAGTAAACTACTACCCAAGTACATCGGCCTATTTCGTGTATTGCACCGCCTAGGCAATGCATACACGATTGAACTGCCACGTAGGATGCGAACGCATCCCATGTTTTACTTTTGTCGGCTTAAGCCGTACCATCAGTACGCTGTTTCTTCCGATGAAGAACGCCCTTGCGCTCAAGTATCTCACAGAGAGCTTTGTGCCCCCGATGGTGGATATCAACAAGGTTCTGAAGAGCAGTTGTCTCAGCCCGAGATCGGTCAATATCCACACGAGCTACCCTTAGCTCGTTACGCAGAGATGTCAAAGCTCTCTCGTTCTCAAGCTGAGCAAAAGCATACTCAGCTCGATGCTTCAAGACAGTGTCCGCCAGTTGAAGACGCCTGTCCCGCCCATGCTCGAGGTCGTCGCGTAACGCAAGGGTTACGCGATCAAAGAAGCTCTCGGAGGCTCACGCTTCCCCACGGTAGCTTGGAGAGCTTTTTCCCTCCTCCTACACCTTCTTTGGAAGAATCTCGCAGTGGCAAGCGCTATCTGATTGAGCGGCTGTTGAACCACCGCGATGTGAACGGACGTCGGACGAGTTACCTCGTCCGGTGGCGCGGTTAACCCCCCGTCCTGGGATACTTGGGAGCCCCGCTCCCAACTGATGATTGACGTACTGGGTCTGGTCGAGCCGTACGACGCGGCACATACTGTGCCGCAGAAGGACCGCCGGAGAAAGTCTTCGCGGCACGGTTGCAAAGGGATTTTTCAGGTTGTCAATCCCTTCGTACATCTCAGTGGAGATACGTACGCGCCACCACGGGCTAGTAAGGAGGTAGACAGCCTTAGGTGCGCGCGCAGTGTTGTTTACACAACAAGGGCACGAGTCTCCCCATGAGAGGCAGGGTAATCCTTTCTCCTTTGACAGACGATGCAGCTTGTAGCGTGCACCTGTCGGGGTTCGCTTTTCAAACATATCACGAGCATTGATAAGTTTGTCATTCCAAACGGCACGACCTACATCCTCAAGGTTATGGATGTAAGCGTTCCACGCTTGAAGCAGTGAGGGACCATCACGTTTGTGGTTCCCACTGTACCATCGATGTCTAAAGAAAGCATCGATGAAGAATACATTCTGAGCGCTACATCTTTTCGCGCTGGGGTCAAGGTGATGGATCCTTGACGAATCGAATAATCGTGTTCAATAGCGATCACTTGTCGTCACCGACAAGCGATCCATGACTGACTTTGGAGGCAGCCATGCTTTCTTTTCGGGAGCGAGACGCAACACATTGCGGTTCCGCTCTTCCTGCGATGTGCCGACAGAAGTACTGATACCTCGATTCGAAGTGGTGTCAATAGAATAACCGACACTACTGTGAGCGCCCGAGTCTTGCGATCTCTCGCCTACGCTTTGGCGATGGTTTATCTGATTCGTCAGATGAACCAAAGATGCTACGATGCGTAGCATCATCCATGCCACGCTTGGCAGGCGGCTTAGTTTCAACCGCCTTCGATACGGATCCCTCTTCCGTATCAGGAAAGTGTGAGACACCGAGCTCATACTCTGTGAAGAAATGAGTGTCTCCATGACGAGCGTCGGCATCACCAGGTGATACAGACTGCGACGCTTCAGCAACCGATGAGACATCGGTTGCAGCGGTTTCTGCTTCGGCGTCTGCACAGAGACGTGCAGACGCGCTCTCAGCGGCCTTGCTCGCGCATCGCATGGACTTGTTTACCATGCGATGAAACTGTCGGAATGTGGACTCGGACCAACAAGTGCAAACCCTGTCCCAAATGATTTGGGACGAGTATCCATTTAGACAATCAGTCACTAAGGTGACTGATGGTTAAGGGGGGGGTGATGTAACGGGGTGAACCGCAACGTAACAATTTATAAGAAATTGTTAATGGAATATATAACTATTAGAGTTACATTCTCAGAATATTGTCATAAGAACAAACATTCTGCAGCACTTACGAGTAGTTCCTAATTGGTTGATATAGGCCATTCCATCAACCAACGAAGACGCGCCATGACAGACGCACGCAATGAGTGGTGAGCAGATAGTTGATATACACATTTGTATTTAGACATAGTTATGTGAGGATAAACAGTGGTTGATTAATAGACATTAAGTATTATAAATAAAGTTCTACTTTTCACTTTACCAAGTACTCGCTTCTTCTTACCGTCTTCCTTTTCACGTACCAGTGTACGTAAAGTTACGAGGCACCGCCTCATACTGTTATCAGAATAAGTACCTTTTACTGTCATCAGTACAAGCTTGAGGGTGCCCCGTTTTATTACTCAGTTGGGGCGACACGATGTCACAACTTTTCCAAACTCGCAGCACGCTTAACCGGACGTAGTATGTAACATCAGTCATCGCAGTCGTTTCAACAACAAGTACACGTGTGAAGCGCACACTGAGTTCGTCGATTAATTTAGGTGGCCATCTCGCCGATTGAAAGAGCACGCCCAAGTCACTAATTCTCACGAAGCCAGCACATGATGATGACCTGTGTTCATTCCCGACGTCAGCTAGAGATCGTAATAGTGCAGAACGCTGCTATAGTTCGTGGACCAAGTACTCACAAGCTGTAGATAATACTGTACCTTCAGCCGCCATGAGCAATAACGCAACGTCAATTTTCTAAATAACATTTCTCTCGTGGACAAGATCACGCTGCATAGCCACTAGTGTCTACAAACTACGAAGTGCTACCAGGTGTAACGGGGCACCCTGAAGCTTGTATTGATGACAGTACAAGCTACTTATTTTGATGACAGAATAAGGCGGTGCCTCGTAACTTTACGTACACTGGTACGTGAAAAGGAAGACGGTAAGAAGAAGCGAGTACTTGGTAAAGTGAAAAGTAGAACTTTATTTATAATACTTAATGTCTATTAATCAACCACTGTTTATCCTCACATAACTATGTCTAAATACAAATGTGTATATCAACTATCTGCTCACCACTCATTGCGTGCGTCTGTCATGGCGCGTCTTCGTTGGTTGATGGAATGGCCTATATCAACCAATTAGGAACTACTCGTAAGTGCTGCAGAATATTTGTTCTTATGACAATATTCTGAGAATGTAACTCTAATAGTTATATATTCCATTAACAATTTCTTATAAATTGTTACGTTGCGGTTCACCCCGTTACATCACCCCCCCCCTTAACCATCAGTCACCTTAGTGACTGATTGTCTAAATGGATACTCATCCCAAATCATTTGGGACAGGGTTTGCACTTGTTGGTCCGAGTCCACATTCCGACAGTTTCATCGCATGGTAAACAAGCCCATGCGATGCGCGAGCAAGGCCGCCGAGAGCGCGTCTGCACGTCTCTGTGCAGACGCCGAAGCAGAAACCGCTGCAACCGATGTCTCATCGGTTGCTGAAGCGTCGCAGTCTGTATCACCTGGTGATGCCGACGCTCGTCATGGAGACACTCATTTCTTCACAGAGTATGAGCTCGGTGTCTCACACTCTCCTGATACGGAAGAGGGATCCGTATCGAAGGCGGTTGAAACTAAGCCGCCTGCCAAGCGTGGCATGGATGATGCTACGCATCGTAGTATCTTTGGTTCATCTGACGAATCAGATAAACCACCGCCAAAGCGTAGGCGAGAGATCGCAAGACTCGGGCGCTCACAGTGGTGTCGGTTATCCTATTGACACCACTTCGAAGCGAGGTATCAGTACTTCTGTCGGCACATCGCAGGAAGAGCGGAACCGCAACGTGTTGCGTCTCGCTCCCGAAAAGAAAGCATGGCTGCCTCCAAAGTCAGTCATGGATCGCTTGTCGGTCACGACAAGTGATCGCTATTGAACACGATTATTCGATTCGTCAGGGATCCGTCACCTTGACACCAGTGCGAAAAGATATAGCGCTCAGAATGTATTCTTCATCGACGCTTTCTTTAAGCATCGATGGTACAGTGGGAATCACAAACGTGATGGTCCCTCACTGCTTCAAGCGTGGAACGCTTACATCCATAACCTTGAGGATGTAGGTCGTGCCGTTTGGAATGACAAACTTATCAATGCTCGTGATATGTTTGAAAAGCGAACCCCGACAGGTGCACGCTACAAGCTGCATCGTCTGTCAAAGGAGAAAGGATTACCCTGCCTCTCATGGGGAGACTCGTGCCCTTGTTGTGTAAACAACACTGCGCGCGCACCTAAGGCTGTCTACCTCCTTACTAGCCCGTGGTGGCGCGTACGTATCTCCACTGAGATGTACGAAGGGATTGACAACCTGAAAAATCCCTTTGCAACCGTGCCGCGAAGACTTTCTCCGGCGGTCCTTCTGCGGCACAGTATGTGCCGCGTCGTACGGCTCGACCAGACCCAGTACGTCAATCATCAGTTGGGAGCGGGGCTCCCAAGTATCCCAGGACGGGGGTTAACCGCGCCACCGGACGAGGTAACTCGTCCGACGTCCGTTCACATCGCGGTGGTTCAACAGCCGCTCAATCAGATAGCGCTTGCCACTGCGAGATTCTTCCAAAGAAGGTGTAGGAGGAGGGAAAAAGCTCTCCAAGCTACCGTGGGGAAGCGTGAGCCTCCGAGAGCTTTTTGATCGCGTAACCCTTGCGTTACGCGACGACCTCGAGCATGGGCGGGACAGGCGTCTTCAACTGGCGGACACTGTCTTGAAGCATCGAGCTGAGTATGCTTTTGCTCAGCTTGAGAACGAGAGAGCTTTGACATCTCTGCGTAACGAGCTAAGGGTAGCTCGTGTGGATATTGACCGATCTCGGGCTGAGACAACTGCTCTTCAGAACCTTGTTGATATCCACCATCGGGGGCACAAAGCTCTCTGTGAGATACTTGAGCGCAAGGGCGTTCTTCATCGGAAGAAACAGCGTACTGATGGTACGGCTTAAGCCGACAAAAGTAAAACATGGGATGCGTTCGCATCCTACGTGGCAGTTCAATCGTGTATGCATTGCCTAGGCGGTGCAATACACGAAATAGGCCGATGTACTTGGGTAGTAGTTTACTACTACCCAAGTTAGTCACTACATGCTTTGGTAGATTAACCGTAGAAAGTAGGACAAAGTCACCTTTACTAAATAAAAGAGTGTTTTTGCCCTTCCATTCTTATCAGCGTTTTGCTTTTCCTTATCCACCGCTTCGGCGATGGAGTCTTGCACGAAACGGATTACCGTTTCACGAGCCAGTATGAACTCATCTGATGACTCGTTAGCTTCAGTGCGCTGTGAGTGCACTGCAGCGACATCAATCATTTCTTCGGTGAGGGCTTCCGCGCTCTCACTGGCATCATCTTCTTCGATATCGATGTTGTCGATATCGTCATCAAACGCAATGACCTCATCGTCGGAGCGTGATGAGCGTGAACCACATCGGTTTTTGCTCGCGCGAGTCCCTCCCCCCTTAAACCAGAGTTACACTCTAGTAAGGTGGGTACACGCGGATGGCGCAAGCCATTCACGTAAAACGGTGTATGTGTCGTGGACGCATGCACCGAGTTGTTAATGGCAAACTCTACCATTGGCAAAAACTCACTCCAACTCTTAAAGGAGTGTACGTATCCTCGAAGTATCTCTTCAAGTACACGATTGGCACGTTTCGTCTGACCATCTGACTCTGGATGATCAGATGTCGACATCTTCAAGCGCGTTCCGAGTGATTTGAACACGGAACGCCAGAAATCAGCAGTGGAGCGTGGATCTCTGTCTGTTACGAGTTCACGGGGCAACCCATGAAGTCGGAAGATGGTGTCGATAAAGACACAAGCACAGCCACTTGCCGTGATTGTCTCTGGTACAGCCACAAGGTGTACCATTTTGCTGAATCTGTCAACAAATACGAGAATACCCGTATTCCCGCGTGCGTCTTTGGGTAACCCGAAGACGAAATCCATTGAGATGGATTCCCAGCACTCAGCCGGAACCGGTAGAGGCTGTAAAGGTGCACGCAGTGAAGGGATTGACTTCACTCGTTGACAGACTTCGCATGCGCGAACATACTTTCGCACAAACTGATACTGGCGGGGCCAGTAAAAGTCTCGACTTACAATGAGATTTGTTTTCTCACAACCACGATGTCCTCCTATAGGAGCATCGTGATACTCGAACATGATCCGCAAACGCAGATCAGTATCATCTGGAATGACAACACGTGGTGTGTCACCAGAAACGGCTGTATAATACAGTAACCCGTTGCGAGTAGTGTATCGATCTGATGCAGATCGATACGCAGACGATAACCGTTTCAACAATTCTCGAGATGGTTGTGAGAGATGTGTCAACAACTTCACAATCTCACCATCTTGGGCATATGCCCGCCTCACATCATCATACAACGCTGTAGATGGGACTGAGGACGTCATAACCGCAACAGTGACTGTCTCACTGTTGGGTTTCACGACTGTTTCAAAGTCGGGACGATGTGAGAGTGCATCAGCGACTGCATTAAGTTGTCCTGGTTTGTACTCGACCGTGAAGTTGTATTCTGCAAAGAATGACAACCACCGCGCCATTCGTTGTGAAAGGTGCGAGCTGTTCACTGCCGTGCGTAATGACGCATGGTCAGTGTAAACAATGAAGGGTCTGTCTCCTAATAGATAGACTCTGAACTTCGCGAGTGCATACTTCATGGCAAGGAGTTCCTTGTCATGCACTGGATAGTTCCGCTCAGCTGGTTGCAGCTGACGCGACTAATAGCAGACGACGCGTTCAACGCCTTCAAGATCGTACTGCATTAATGCACAGCCGATTGCGAAATCGCTGGCATCACAGACCACATGAAATGGCCTGTCCTGATCGGCTTTTGCTAGGACTGGGGATTGTATCAAGCTCTGCTTGATACCATCAAAGGAGCGCTAGCATTTAGCTTTCCATAACCACCTCTCGTTCTTTTTCAACAATCGAGAGAGGTGCACAGTCATTTCGGCGTAATTGCGTGAATACTTATGCAAATACGCCGCTAGCCCAAGGAATTTTCGAAGACCTTTGACATCAACCGGCACAGGCCAGTCGGTGATCGCCTTGATCTTTTCGGGATCAGGACGTACACCGTTCTTACCAACGATGCACCCAAGAAGTGGTATTTTGCTTGATGCAAATATACACTTCTTGAGGTTGGCATACAATTGATGCTTTCGCATGATTGTAAGAACCTGTCGGACGTGGTACCTGTGAACCTCAACGTCCGACTTTCCATCCATAGCTCGACTATGGATGAATACGTCATCGAAAAACTCGGCGCGAATTCTCGTACTGGCCTCAACAGATGTGATACACATCTGTTGAACGTGGCAGGGGCATTACTAAGCCCTTGTGGCATTACTAGCCATTCCCAGAGCATGCCGCTAGGCGTGCTAACTGCGGTATAGGGTATATCCCGTTCCCGCATAAGGATTTGATAGAAGCCATCCATCAAATCCATGGACGAAAAGATGGTACTCTTTGACATACCATCAATGATTACGTCCTTCCTCGGTATCGGCGTCCGAGCCGGTACCGTTGCAGCGTTCAATTTGTTGAACGCGTGCACTATCCGCCACCCTCCAGTTGCTTTTCGCACACAGAAGATCGGAGAGCTATGTGGGAAGTTGATTCCCTCACATGGCCCGCAGCTAAACGATCGGCAAAGAACTTGTCGATCGCAAGTACTTGTTCACGAGGCAGTGGCCACTGCTTCATGACACAGTACTTCGAGCCTGGTTTAAGCTCGACCTCGTGTCGAATACCTTTATCCTTCGGTAATTCGCACGGAACAGTTTCAGGGAATACATCCTTGAATTCAACCAAATCTTCATAGAGAGGATTTGTCTTGAGCGATTCCCACGATTGGGAGTCATATCGCTCAATTCGTGTCTTTTCATCTAGGACACTCTCGTCCATAGATGAACTACTGAGAACTCTCTCGTTCTCAGTGAACACTTTTGCTGACCTTATGTCGGCTACACACTCTTCGTCAGCGACGAGTACGCAGATCTTCTTGACTTTGCCACTACGCAGATCACGCAAGAACCTTTTATGTTCGAGCGTTGACAACTGATTGATCTCCGAAGTCAACTTCGGAGGCGCAATCAGATCAATTGTACAAGCGCCTACACTTGATCCGTCATTGACTATGACATTTAATGTCTCTGTCATTTCCTGGGGACTTATTCCCTCAGGCTTCGAAGGACTTAGTCCTTCGGCTTCCCGGGGACTTATTCCCGCGGGTTTCGGGGAACTTATTTCCGCCGTATCTGTAATATCAGGACTTATTACCTTAACTTCCTCTAGCTGGGGTTGCGCAACCACAGCGAGATCCTCCAAGAATCGATCGCTCAGGTTAAGCGAAACGATAATCCTAGATCCAGTCGATCTAGGATAATCGTTTCAATTAACCTGAGCGATCGTTTGTTTCTCTTCTAGATGTTCCCCGCTAGGGATACATCTTTGTCCCGTTCACTCGACTTATTCGAGTGGTGGACCTTCGGCGCAGCCTGTGTTTCCTCACAGCCGCCGGAACTTTGCTCCGAAGTGCAACTGTTTGTTACACTAAGGTTTTGTGCAGTCGTACTAACGACCGTACCACAAGTGCGGCCATCGCACTCACTCGTAGTACATCCACACGCTTGTGGACGCTCCGAAACGTTCATCAGATGGCCATCTGATGAACAAGCGGCAGGCATCGTTACTGTTCGATGTTGCCAGTTTACCCGTGGTTCGTACCTTCTGAGCCACGGTATTCCAAGGATGACATCAAATTTGTCATCCAAATCCAATACGATAAAGTCATCGCCATATTGGGTATCTTCTAGCATATATTGAATCTTCACTATACGCTTCATGACGGTTATAAGTGCATCTGTGGCAAGACATACCGTCATCCTCGTAGGAGGTGTGTCACATTCACTGAACTTAAAGTGACCATCTTCTAGCGATTGGCGTTGCACAAAATTGTTGGACGCCCCACAATCGACTAGAGCTCGAAGGGAAAACTTATTCGTCACTTCGAGTTTCAAGGTAATGAGTGAGACCTCATTACCTAGAGCAGCAACGCACAACTGTCTGTGTGTTGGGAGCAACCTTCATCAAGAGGCCTACAAATTCTCTTGACGTTGCTGGACCAGTAGGGTTCTCCGCACCTACTTATCCTGTCCGTTTTTTGACGGTCCATCCCGTTGTTGCGTCTTTACACCAACAGCGGACCCGCGTCCCTGCCCATTTCTCAAGGGTGGACGGTCACTACGCCCAGTGTTGCGAGACACTGGACGAGGGGCACTACACTCGTAAGCGTAGTGTCCTGTCTTTTGACATCTGTTGCATTTCTGCAACTTCTTGTAGCCTGTAGAGCGAGCCTTCTCGCTCTCTACATAACAGAGTTCCATCGGCTCTGGACCTCCGTTGTCATATCGTCTCGGTTGACAATTTGGTGTCGAGCTGGCGCGAGCCTGTCTCAGACTGAAGTCTTCCTGTTCCGCAATGGAAATGGCTTACTCTAGTGAATCTAGTTCAATTCGGAACAGGTGAGTCTTGACGGGACCATCCGCAAGACCCTGCATGAACACCGAAACCAACGTGTGTTCATCCACCGGATTGGAACTTATACAACTCGTGAGATGTCGTATATGTTGCGCGTAAGCGTGCACATCACGCTTACCCTGCTTGAGCTTCAAGAGATCGGTTCGAGCCCTGAACTCAGCTCTAGGCGGTTCAAACGTTTGTCTGAGCCGCAACTTGAAGACTTCCAACGACCCAAACGCATATGGGTCGTGCAACTGGAGCCCCGGTGCCCAAGTCTTGGCACGTCCTGCCAGATTTGACTGGGCAAATGCAACTTGCATATCCCCGTCGTCGATGCGACGCGCCCTTATGGCGTCATCCAATTCGACGAACCATCTCAAGAGGGAGTCTTCTTCGACCCCCCTATACTTGGAGATGTCAATCTTCAAGGTCTCGGGTCGACGCGAGTGCATCGACCCACCAGCAGCAGCCTGCTGCTGTCTTAACAGTTCAAACTGTTGAACACCCTGTTCTCTCAACAACTCTGCTTGTTGAGAACCTTGTTGGTGAAGCAAGGCTACTTTCTCTCGTTCTGCTTCAAGTTCATTTTGAATGAACTTGGCGATAGTAGCATGTTGGGCATCTCTATTGAGAGCCTCTAGCATGACGCTAACATCATGGATGCCCATGGTCGAACACATCCGTTCAACCGCATCCCATTCGACATCGCTCAAATGGGAGTAGCCGTCACGCGTAGCGTGAAAGCTTTGGTCATCTTCATCATCCAACATATTCATGTTGGATGTGAACGCGGTCCTTGGACGGACTACAAAGTGCTACCAGGTGTAACGGGGCACCCTGAAGCTTGTACTGGTGACAGTACAAGCTACTTATTCTGATGACAGAATAAGGCGGTGCCTCGTAACTTCACGCACACTCGTACGTGCAGAGGAAGACGGTAAGAAGAAGCGAGTACTTGTTTAAAGTAAAAAGTAGAACTGTATTTATAATAGTTAATGTCTGCAATAAATCACTATTTATCTTCATCTAACTATGTCTAAATACAAATGTGTAAATCAGTTATCTGCGCACCACTCATTGCGTGCGTCTGTCGTGGCGCGTCTTCGTTGGTTGATAGAATGGCCTATATCAACCAAATAGGAACTACTTGTAAGTGCAACAGAATATTTGTCCTTTTGACAATATTCTGAGAATTTAACTCTTACAGTTATATTCTACTAACAATTTCTTATAAATTGTTATGTAACGACTCACTTCGTTACAGACAGAAGGACTGGAAACTAGTTTCGAAGTGGTGTCCATAGAAGAACCGACACCTCTGTTAGCGCCCGAGTCTCGCGACCTCGAGCGCCCTCGCTTCGGCGATGGTTTATCTGATTCATCAGATGAACCAAAGATGCTACGACGCGTAGCATCATCCATGCCACGCTTGGCAGGCGGCTTGGTTGCGATCGCCGTCGGTACGGATCCGTCTTCCGCATCAGGAGAGTATGAGACACCGAGCTCGTACTCTGTGAAGACATGAGTGTCTTCATGACCAGCGCCTGCATCACCAAGTGACACAGGCTGAGTCGCTTCAGCAACCGATGAGATATCAGTTGCTGTGGTTTCTGCTTCGGCGTCCGCGCGGAGACGTGCGGACGCGCTCTCGGCGGCCTTGCTCGCGCATCGCATGGGCTTGTTAACCATGCGATGAAATGTTGGAATGTGGACTCGGACCAACAAGTGCAAACCCTGTCCCAAACGATTCGGGACGAGTATCCATTTAGACAATCAGTCACTAAAGTAACTGATGGCTAGGGGGGGGTGTAACGGGGTGAATCATTACATAACAATTTATAAGAAATTGTAAATAGAATATAGCTATAAGAGTTGTATTCTCAGAATATTGTCATAGGGACAGATATTCTACAGCACTTACGAGTAGTTCCTAATTGGTTGATATAGGCCATTCCATCAACCAACGAAGACGCGCCACGACAGACGCACGCAATGAGTGGTGAGCAGATAGTTGATTTACGATTTGTATTTAGACATAGTTATGTGAGGATAAACAGTGATTTATTGCAGACATTAACTATTATAAATACAGTTCTACTTTTCACTTCAAACAAGTACTCGCTTCTTCTTACCGTCTTCCTCTGCACGTACGAGTGTACGTGAAGTTCCGAGGCACCTCCTTATTCTGTTATCAGAATAAATAGCTCGTACTGTTACCAGTACAAGCTTCAGGGTGCCCCGTTACATATATTCTCTAAATGTTTTTTGTTTTTAGATGGAACACGTCCTGCTTAAGCTGGATGTGTTTCATCAAGCGGGTAATATTTTGCATTACAACCCGCGGTGATCCCTGAAGGGACCTTAGGAAGGAATAGAATTTTTTTCGAGATCAGCTGTGTGGTCATCATCTTTAACTTTAAGTTCATCGAAGCCCCTCCCAAAACTCTGATGAATTAAGGGACCTTAATGATCGCGATTTTGCGACGATCCAACCTTCTTCTGCACTTTCATCCCCGGTTTAACCTTGGCATTATCATATTCGCGTTGGGATTCCCGAATAAATGCTGAGTCACTAGAGATTTATGCCGCGCGGTCCTACAGATCATCCTGGGGTAAACTGCTAGTACTCTGACTAGACTGAGTCACTAGAGAGATTTATGCCGCTCGGTCCTTCAGATCACCCTGGGGTGAACTGCGAGTACCCTGACTTAGTTTGAACTCCTTACAGGACCCGCACCCCTCATTACACTATGGGACTTTTCGGCTTGTAGGGCCTCCGGACGGCACCGGCCACCCATTGGTGGTTGCTAGTCTATATTATTAGCCTATCTCCGGCGCCCTGTAATTGAACCCCCACCGGGTATCTATCCAGGAACCTCCCGGTCCCAGTTCCAGTGGTCTACCACTCGGCCACTGGGGTCGGGAGACTGAGTCACTTGAACATCCGGGCATACGCACCGTTGTAGTTGAATGGGATTCGCTCCTTTACGAAGCGATCCGACTCTCAAAATTGCTGAGGGGTGAAGGCACCGGATTATAACGCTTAGACGACTAACTAACGGAGGGGTGCTCCGGATCATCGTGTCATGTTCCTTCTCACCTTGTGTACCCGTCTGCGGGCTGTTGCGCTCTTTTAGGTGGCTTGAGGTCGATGTCTTTCTCGACCAAGTTGGGTATAGTTGGGTTCGGTAGCGAAGAAGTACTCCACACGACCAAATACTACACGTGGTGCTCTCCCGAAGTAGCCTGACCTTTTTTGATGTCTCCTTGCCGAAATATGGATACTTGGTCCCCTTGTTCTTCTGACCAATTGAGCCGTCTGAAGACCTTGCCTTGTATATTTGCCGCGTCCGAACACAGGTTAACTGAAATGAGCATCCTTGTTTTTTGCCAAGCAACAGGAACGAACCATACGCAAACATATGGAAAGTAAACCTTGAAACATTGGTTGGCCGCTAGTTTTCTATCTCGGCGGGATGATGACTCATGTCTTTGTATAAAAATCTATGCTCCTCATTTTCAATCCTATTTGGAGCTAAATCTACGCTTATACCTCTTTGCATATCAATTTCCGTTACGTCGTTCACTCCCTGCCACCCATTCCTTGTGCTTGAAGTGACCCACCTCAACTGTCCACA